ATCACATCAGCTTCAAATTGGCTTAAATAATTTGGTTGCATGGTGCTCGTTGAATCTTATGAAAGTAGATCTAAATAAATGTAAGAAGCTTTCTCAAGAAGGAAGTCATTCATTACTCAGTATTCCATTGATTCGCACAAGTTGGAGGATATCAATTTGTTCACAGATTTACGCCTTCTATTTGACCATAGGTTATGTTTCGACTTGCATATTGAGCTCTCGTTAAGCAAAGCTAGATTCGCGCTTGGTTTTATAAAGAGGTGGTCAAAAGTGATCCTTATATTACGAAAAGGCTGTACATGTGTTTGCTTAGACCTACACTTGAGTATGCCTCTATTGTGTGGTCTCCTTCATAGAGGTGCTATATAGATTCAATTGAATCTGTTCAAAAGTAATTCCTGCTGTTTGCCCTTAGGAATTCGGGTTGGGACCCGATTGCCTCTCTTCCCCTTTATGAAAGTAGGTTGCTTCTATTATCCTTACCGTCACTTGAGAAACGCAGATTTAATCTTGGGGATTCCTTCTTTACCGAAGTAATACATGGTACTATCGACAACGCCCGCATTACTTGGTGATATAAGCTTGAATATCCCTAACCGCTTCTCTAGGCAGTTTACCTTGATTAAATACAATTATGAGCTGTTTAACGCGCTCAGAGTTGTTTGTACACACCTAAACAGTGTCGATCACTTGTTCTCAATATCGGATTCTTTAAAGTCCATTATCGGAAATTTGTTTAAAACGCGCGATTCACATATGTCTTACTTAAACTAGCTTGCCTTCTTAAATTCTCTTTTTTTTTTTTATTTCGAAAATTAAATGTGCTGTTAACGTTATCGGTTGCCAAGCTTATGCATGTTTGCAGTGGTTTATGGGTTCACTTGCAACCTTAATCTGTTCTTGTTGTGGGTGTGCTTCTGTGCTTCTTCTAGCTGCGTACATGCTTTTTTTTCTTTCTTTTTTTTCCCTTTCTTATTTATTTATACATGAAGTGTTATTCTAAGTTACTTTTCATTGTTCTTTTTTCACATTTTCCTATATATTGTATACTAGTTTTTAAAATAATTAGTATAAGTTTTACTATTAAAACTTACTTGAATTCGACTGTTAATTTGGCTTAATTAAATTTCATGTATAAGTAAGTAAATAAATAAATACAACTTTGTTACGGTTTAAAGCGCCAAATTTTTAATCTATAATCTAACAAGCGCCAAATTTATAATCTAACAATAGTCGGAGAGGCATATACACTCTCTAGACAATACAGAATACGTGACGTAAGAAAAGTCACTTCCTGTATTACGTTAAGAGATAGATGTATATTAATAACAGAACATAAGAATGTACCATAGATTTTACCATCTATTAGGCCTATATGCCTACAAACGCGGTCCTTATTGATTACACCCAAACACCTAGAACAAGCAACGCATTCAATTTCAACGTTATCAAGGTGGAGATCAAAATAGAAAGATGATCTACAGATTTGTTGATTTTAGAATTAAATATAATCGCTTTGTTCGTGGATGGATCCCAATAGAGAAATGTATAATTACTCCAATTGACCATAGGTAGAACCCTAATGTGGAATAAAATATGAATTAGTCAAATAAAGTACATAATATAAAGCAAAAAATGATAATGATATGTATATCAGAAAGTTATAACGGTAAATTAACTTGTCAGTAGCTCAGTGCAGCCATGTATATCAAGTTCTGAATCCGTATTGTCCGCTACAGTTAAAACAGTAGCTAGCTTCACAGTATTTTTGATCCTATAATATTGTTATGAACTTCGCTTTTACTAAGATACAGTTCGTATCACTGGATCGTGGATATTTTGATCAAGAGAAATACACTTCAAAGTTCTTTTATTTTACTACTTTGTCTTTCACAACAGTAGGAGTATTTATTTGCAATTATATTTTTTAACAGTAGAATTATTCACAATTTTATTTGGCCGTACTCTCAACTCAAATGTTCTTGCCTGACTAACTCTCCCTTCCACATATGTTCTATTTATGTACATTTTTACAACCATGTTCCTATATCTAAATTTGGGGAGATAAACTATGCTTTGATGGGGAGCATAGATGGCCGAAACCCTCACCTCCAAGTGGTGATACCCGGGCAACGGCTTCGGCCAGCTAAGAAGAGTTTAAGGTTTTGGGCTACTAACTCGGTGACGAGTTTCTGAGAGATGGTGAAGGGGTTCGCTGGAAGATGAACTCTTCACTCATGAAGCTAATTACTTCCTAGGAAGTTAATAGGCTATAGTACGTAGAAGGTAGTAATTTAGCGAGTGCATTGTAGATCGCCCCTGCCATGTCAGTGCAATGCCAGAGACTTATATATCTCAATGAAAAGTAGTTCGAGGGTTGGCTAACCCGGATGGTAAGGCTAATCCAAAGGCAACAGTGATCTGAGAGGTCAGCCACGCAAAGTATGCCTAAGGCTTTGTAACTAATGCTGAGAGCCACGGGGGTCAGGAGCCCGCTCATTAAGCCGTGTATGCCTACGGAAAAATGATGGGATTAAAATTAAAAGTTGTAAAACAATTTAAAATTATCTCATATATGTATGTAAGACATCTTATGATATATAAGATGCATTGGATTTACTCGATAAAGGGCCGATCTATTCTCAATAATATATAATATAAAATTAAAGGTGTTTTGGTTCTTTTGCCTTGAATATGTACTTCTAAAGGGTGCATATTAGAGTGTTATATCCTTAAAATAATATGAGTTAATTAGATGTATAAATGAAAGAAAAGGGATTTGACGGCAGGGTTTTTTAGCATTTTTACACTTTAAATTATACAGTTTAAATTATATTCACGGATGCCCAGCGGCAATGGTGTTTAATTGATTAACGGCGCTTGTGGAAACCTTATGGTGGAAGCAAGCGCATTTTTCCCTTTTTGAACTCATATAGTTGAGCAATTTGTGAGCCCTGACTGCTTGGGTGCGGCCCTTCGGGGAGTACTCGTGGTGGTTGTGGTTGGCAGTTCCAAGCCAAAGTGGAACAATCGAGTGCAGCTAGGCCTCACCACTGACCAGAGTGGGATTTATTGATCCATACGCAATAAACCGTTCTGGACTCTGGTGCTGTTCAGGCCCCTACTCTGTGGGGATTCTCTAACTCGCCAGGGGGCGTATATTAGGCTTAAAGTGGCTTGGGCCACCGTGGGATTAAGCCTTCATGGCAGGAACCCACGTTAAACCCATGCTACAAATCTATACCTAAATTTATGGTTTTATTTCTAATCCCAGTCTGCTTTTTCTCTAATCGTTTTCATCGGCCTGCACCTGCATGACGCGCCTGCGAATGTGCACTTGATTTTACCTGTCTGTTTTTCCGTTAATCGTTTTCATCGGCCTGCAGCTGCATGAGGCGCCTGCGAATGCTCATTTGGTGTTTCCTTCTTTAGGGAATTTGTTATTACGAAAATTACTTAGCTGACATTAACTGGATTTGGGATTTTCGTAACAATGTGTTTATGAATATGTTCACTTCGCCCTAACTAAAAACATACCGCAATAAGCTTAGGCGTGACCGGCGGATGGTGTTGTGTAAGGAACACCCATTTATTTAACGAATTACACGGAATTTAACATTTTTCAACAAGCCAGAAATGAAAACCAGTTTGACTTTAATGGTCTTAAAATACTAATACATCACTTTATCCCTTACAACTGTGCTTTACCGGTCTGGATTTACTTCTGTTTATATAGCGACTATTATCCTAGTCATACGGATCAGTTAATATTCCTTATGATGACATCAATCTCTGAAATGTTAAACAGGCCATCAGACAAACCGTCTATCACAATGTTCAGGCGGTTACATACAACTATAGTGCACCAACAGGGCTATCTCTGCAGTTTTACTGGACCTTAATTGTTTTACTATCTCACGGAAACTATCAATATCTACTCTCAGGTTCCTGATAGATCATTTCTCATCTCCTATATAGCCTTATCAACACGATTATCTCTATGATTCAAAAGTTTAGAACATTTATGTTCTGCCTGGCATCCGATCTTACGATCGCACGTCCGTTTTCTTTGACGGCAATTTCACTAAAATATGTATTTATGCGGATTTGCCAGATCATCCATATAAAATTACACATTAAATAATTTGGAGCAACAGAAAAGTATTTTTTCCGCATAGAAATAGTTAACAGCATAATTTAATTTAATTAACCACATGATTTTATTTTTAAAAGTTTGCTTGAATACACTAAAAAAAACCAGGCTATGCATTAGCTAAGATATAATCACATATAATATATATTTTTAAACTTCATACAAAAACGAGAAAAAGTCATCGTGTTCATTGCTTTATGTGTAATAATATATATATTTACATATAATGTGAGCATACACACGCGCGCAAGCACACTTAGGTATTCACACCGTTGAGGTTTTACACCCTCAGCTCGATAATGGGAATATAAAAACTTTTCTGTTCATTTACCATAACGAAAAGTACACAACAAATCGATCCAAAATTTGCATTCTGAATTGATTTAGGTGTGCATATTTACATTTTCTACAGTAACACAATGCGTACTTCGTGGTATCACTTACTTTTTTTGGCCAAAAACATTGTAATTTTCCTAAATTTATATAAAAAAAACTTAAATTTGTTAAAAGAAAAAAAAAAAAAAAAAAAAAAAAAAAAAAAAAAAA